GTTGACTCATGGCATAATTAGTCTGTTGGGCATCATCTCACCAAGCACAGCTCCTCAAGGAAAGCACTATACACTGCTATATGGCCAAATTTGTCTCAGTCTTTATCGGAAATTTTAAAACTAAATATATCCCATATATTTCAAAGCAAAGCAAAGCTTCATGCAAAGACTTCCACATGCAATCATTTTATTGTAGGTCCTCCTCTTTGGTAATGTCAAAATGCTAGAGTTCTACTACTGTTGCAAAGAAAATACAGTCTTTCAAACACTGAAGTGAAAAAGGCAGGGTATTTTTCCAGTCATTTACCACACTGATATTCCCTTTGTTTTTCCCTCTTTTAAGTAAAAACAGACTCTGACAACTCCTTGAATAGGTCCAGTAGCAAGCAAAAAGACAAATAAGAGATAAAAATCTTTTTTTATGCTAAATCCCCCCCCACACACAAATCCAGCACAGCCTTGATTAGAACAGCAGTTGCTCCGATCTCCCATCCTCAGCCTTTTGAAACCATGTCAGTTTTAACCTAAAGGAACAGTACAGATGTGCTGTTTATAGTTTGGTCCAAAAGAATTCGATAGGAAGAATCTATCTGCCTAAAGCAAACAGTGGGATCCACCCCCATCTATTGGTATTGCCAGATTTAAGGTTAAGAGTCTTCATTTTGAAAAAAATGTACTAAACTTATAGTTATTAAGGGCCTTGGCAAAAACGGACTGACAAGTCTTATATCACGCTTTCTACTAAGTCATCTAAGAAAGAGATCGCTAAATAAATAGAACAGGAAGACCATGAAGTGAAAGGGAACGTGAAAAAGGAGGAGACAACGTAAAACAGTAATTTGATAGACAGAATGAGGAACTATTTGGAGAAAGAAGTACACATTGCTTTTTTTTCCCTGTACAGACATTGAAAGCAACGCAGCAACACCGTGATTTGAAATTATAAAGGGTGCAGCAAAGCTAGGAAGGTCCATCAGAAACAGTGATAACCGCCTTTAAGTTTTAAGATTCGTAATAAAATACAAGTCTTAAAGTCTGTAAATAAGTATTTAAGTCTACAAGCTCTACAAAGGCCATTGTTCTAATAAAGAGGTAAAAAGAAAAAACAAACCTTACTTATATCCTGACACAGATGGGCAAAGTCCACACACTTCAATTCCCCTCTCCCAAATACCAGAGCTATCTAGCCTGTTAGCACAAGTTAGTAAAAGACGCTAGTGGTGCCAGTTAGTGCCAGAGCTCTCCATGAAACTACACTTTCTAAGGCACGACATACTTGACAGAACACGCGAGTTTCCAGTACAGAGGACTGGACTAACAGAAGATCAGCTACAGCAATAACAAGCTGCTCTTCAATGAATAAAGACTTTCACTTTCACTCAGAATTGTTCAAGACAACCTACATTTCCAGTGTTTTCTGACTCTCCCCGTTTCACTCCATACTACCAAACTATCAGCTGGGCAATCCGCTTTAAGTGAAATAAAAGGCAAAGTTAAGCTTAAAGAGAACACTGGTAGCTCACTGGAGTTAATAAAAGCTTAAAAACAAAACCCAGAAAGTAAACCAAAGGGTTCTGATAAATATGTCAAAACACAATCTCCAACATCTCAAGCAAAACCTAACATCTGGTAATTGTAGCAGTCCACAACATTCAGGGACATTTCCAAGCTGCAGGAGGTGGCTGGGTGAGGAGAGGGAGAAAAAGAGGGAATGGTACAGCATTTGAGGGTGTGTGAAAGTCTGAGGGTTAAAAATCTTTGCATGTTCCCTCAAAATCTGATGAGTTGGCATGAATTTCCACGCACATTGCTTAACCCCAAAATTATCCTGGCTCTCTTTTGATTCAGAAATGTAACAGAACCCATAGTAACTCAGGCTGTACATACACTGCTGCCTAGACAAATTATAACTTACAATAGAAAACAAATTCACATCTCATGAGTTGTAAATCAGTTGTCACATATGCAGAATGTGCTACTTCTGTCAATTCTGTACTAAAGAGATGTATATATACTCCCCACAGCTCTGAAGTAACAAAGTGCATTTTATGCTATGGAAGATTAAACTAAGCATTTTGAGACTGGAGAGGAGATACTCTGACTCAGCACAGAAACTGTTTTTTCCCAAGTACTTAAAATGTTATATAAACAGGAAGTCAATTAGGTATCAGGAAATTCCAGAGCCTTTAGCTCAAAGAAAGCCTAGATTAAAGGATATAATTTACATATCATCCTAAGGCAAAGCTCTGCCACTGAGAATACCTTAGACTCAATTTCCTCAAATGTGACTTGGGGGATAACTATCTGATGTGTAGAGATGGAGCACTCCATTCTCCTTTTAAGAGGAAATATCAAAAAGGGCATGTACAAGTATTTAATCGTATCAGGAAGTAAATCAACCTCAGGGAAACTCATCATTTTATTACAAGTCCTACTCCATCAGTCACTGCTTTCCATGAGACCTCCCTAATGAGTTGTAATGTATGTTCCTGCTCAACAAACTAAAAACAATGTAACATTCTGCTCGAGGTCAAGGTGTTACTATAAAACCCAGTATGATCCTCATCATCTTGCTTTGCGTAATTTTAAAGAGACTATCAACGCTTCCACTGATTGCTTTTAAACCACTCATATCTGAGATTGGAGAAAAAACGGAGCACACCTTTTAAAAGACTGGGGTGAGGCAATCAACAGTAAACATAAGGTCAGACATACCACACCTCTCCCTCTCCCTCCCTCCTGTAAAACAAAAAGACTTCAGAAGTGGAAACACAGATGGGAACACTTATGTTGGCGATGCTTGACAAAAGACAGGATATTGATTCAGTAAGCTAAACACACTATAATAATCGAACTCTTTCCTAGTCACTTATTAATTTCAAAAACAAAATTATTTATCCATAACTTATTAATCATGAGGTAAAATCAGTATTACAATACTTTTCTCTTTCTTATTCCTACAAAGCTATAATGGGAAAGCCCTTGAACAGATCTCTTCTTTCTAAGTTTTGCCCATTATGTACCTCCAAAGCCAAGGCTGTCTTGTCGTAGGCATTAGGGACTCGCTTCTGGATAACCCGGGCATAAATAGGGCCATTCTGAAGGTTAGGGAGCGGAGTGTTGATGCTGGGCTGGGCATAGGGCCCTGGCTCCGGCCCACCCAGTGGTTGTGGGTGGGAACTATCCTGGTTACCTCCAATCAGAGTAGATACTGAAGCAGAGGAAGGTCTATACTTCTCGACGTAAGGAACAGGTATCATTCCCCTCTTTCCTTCGCTGTCTTCTGCATTCCACCATTGCTCTTCAGGTTTATCCCGGATTCTCAGTATGTCTCCTTTCTTAAATGGAAGATCTTCTTCATCATTTCCATTAAAGTCAAAGAGAGCTCGCACATATTCAGCCTCCTCCTGTCTGAGGATAACGCCACTATTCTGCCTGGATCTGGAAACTGGTTCTATCAAGGTTGTAGTGTCCAAATAGTGTATTTTGTAGAATTCCAGTAAAGATGGCAAAGAATCAAACTCCTGGTCACCTATTCGAAATCTGGTGGGATTCAACCCTGAAAAGAGAAGGCAATGTATCAACAGAGTATACAACAGTGATAACCGTAAATTACACACTTAAGAAAACTAATATATTTACAGATAGGTAATTTGATGCAGAATTGGGCCACCTTTGGATCATCAACATTCATCATGTCTAACCTATGTGACATGAAATGAAATGAGAACTCTTAATATAAATCAGAATTGCTTGCATTTATTCATAGTTTTGGACTTAGTCCCTTATATGAACAGAAGAAAGCTGAAGTTACCATTTTGGCTTAGCAGGGCAACAAGGTAATGCTTTCCTGCGTATTTTTAATCAAAGACAGCAGTATTCTGATCCCAAGGCTAGAGCTTTATTGTAAAGGTTTTGTCAAAGAAGGGAAAAAGTACATAACAAACAAATAATTTGGCACTGCCAAACTTCATGAAGTAGGAAAAAAGTACTTTGTTTCCTTGGATGCTATATGGAGCCAACAGATTTAAAAAAAAAAAAAAAAAAACACTCATCTGAGTTTCCCAGGAGCATACGCAATTTTCACTACAAAACATTTCCTTTTTTTGTTGTTGTTTTATACTCTAAATCTAGAAAGCAAATGAAATTTTGGTACAATTCCAATAAAGTGATTTTTTTTTTTTAACTTTACCCTTCACAGTTTAAAGTTGTTTCAGAAGGACAACATGCAATACTAGTCATTTACCTCTTGTAACATATCTTGAGTTAAAGACACTGATACTAAGAAAATGGCTTAGCACAGCAGCAAACAACTTGTGTGAATGAGCAAATTAATTTATTTTTCCTTCTGATAAAAGCTACCATTTAAATAAAATTACGCATGTATATGTATGTGAAAAAGCAATATATGTTTTCATAACAAGGATAATTCAGTCCTTTAATCTCAAGTCTTCTAGTTTCTCTGCACAGTTGTCAGTATATACCATCTGAACCTCAAATGCATTGAAATACAGAACCCATTCATATTGGAGACACTGAAAGTATCAAAGTGCAGATACCCATTTCAGTTTTCAACCTGTCCTTTGCACCTTTTTTGATTTTATGTTCTTCAAGCTTAGCTGGGGAAAAACATACGCATGATGTTCTATTTCCACCATGCCATACGCTCTGTAATCAGTTATGGGAAGAATTGTGGAAGGGTGGGGGAGGGTGATGGAGAGGAAAAGATTTATGCTTTAATGAGTAACTCTTCTAGCAAGAAAGAGAGGCTTACTTCGCAAGTCTGTTTCTCTGCGGGGAATATCTAACAGTTCCAAGACTTAGCTCTTGAGTACAAAGTTAGCAGAATTCTTCAAGCTGTCACTGATCCAAAAACCCCTTCAAAGTAGCACTGTCAGCATGGAAAGCTAACATTACAAGAAATTCTTTCAAGTGAGCAAAAAGGGGTTCCAATAGAGGAAACAGATTCATAAGATAAACACTGACAAACACCCAATAAATAAGTCTTAAAGTATCCTGAAGGAACTCAAACATCAGTAAAGCTGATTACTGGAAATTCAAAGAAGCAGAAGTAAGTAATTGGAAAATGAACGCTTGCATGCGTTAATAGGCCTGAAAGACTTTCAAAATAAATCAGCGCAACTGCAGTGAGCCAAGAAACAAAACACCACCCTCAAAAATTACAAAAACACCACCAAGAGGTAAGGAAGTTAATGTAAATATCAATAAGAAGTGTGAAAGTTGCATAAGAAGAGGAGTAAGACTCCCTGTTATTCTCCCAAGGCACAATATATGACCATGAAGAAAATCTGCGAGCTGAAAAGAGGCAAAAAACCCTCACCTTTGCTTGATGAAGTGTAACTCATAGCTCTAGAACTAGCAAGAACTCTGGAATTTCATCTTGGTGGCAGCTCTTAGCTCTGTGCTCTCACAGTAGATAGGGATGCTGCCTGTGCAGCCAGAAGCTACACCACTTCAAAATAGCTAAGTTCACTATATGAGCATTTAACAAACACTTGGCAATGTTGGACTTCTGCTACACTGCAAGTAGTGGGACACAATGGGAAAACGTGCTTCACAACAAGCGGTATAGATATTGAGCTTCAGACAAACCTGGTGACAGAAACACGTGTGTACCCGCTACTATTTTATATAAGAGCCTTTAAGGATCAAGCTTATATGGACACTTATATCAAAAGAAAAAGCCATAGAAACCACAAGAGTGTCATGTAACATGAAAGATCTCCAAAGAAGTCACATGGAGAAGAGCAACTCCCTAATGACCAAAGATATTTTAGGAGAGTACTTGTTGACAGCTAAGTTAATTGACATGGAACTGATTTCACATGACAGAAACCTAGAGTCTGAAGCACTGCTTTACCTTTGCAAAACCTGCTACTGATTTACCTTTGCAAAACTGAGTCAGTCAGTAGGCTAAGATTCCTGCCTCCAGCAAAATAACTGTACACAGAAAAAGCTTAAACTCATAGGGAACAAGCAGTTCAGTGGGAACAGTCATCAGCTTTGTCAGCACCACAACCATCAGCAGGATGAATAAGGATTTTTTCTTTTTTAAAATGGGACTGGAAACGTTTAGGAGGCTCACATGTACCTTACAGCAAGGAGCCGAGAACAGCCCTCTTGAATTAACGCGTAACAGTCTGAAATAGCTGCCAAACGTAGCTGGATAAAACCTAAGCTGAAATCTAAGAGGAAAAGCCTACTTGAGCCCTCTGCGGGGAAGGAGCATACTCTATCCTGGAAAACAGTATTCTAGAAGACATCTGGCTCAATCGCAGAAGAGTAAGAGAACATAGCCTCTAGAAATACAGGCTAGGGTCAGAAAGATCAACGTTATCCTTGAAGGGACAAGCAGGTAATAGCAGAAAGGAGCGACGTTACCTTCTTGTTTGAACTGCATCACTTCTTGTACCTGCAGGTCAATGCAAAAACTAAGGCAAGATCTACCACGAGAAAAAGTTATAGCAACAAAGCAAACTTTTTTGGAGAAGTAGAACTGTTTTTCTTCATGATCCTGAGACATTTTCTTGAAGGTATAATTTCTAGCAGCACGTTGTCTGCATCTTCTGAGGGCTTTCAGGAAGATGGGAATGTGCGCAAAGGTAAGTGTAGCTAGTGGAGAAACTTTAGTCATTTCCTATTAAAGTTGGATGGCCAAAGTACTAGAAATTCTCTTCCCTTCTCCCCAGCTCTGCACAGCCAAAGAAAGAGTAGCTGCTCAGCTTGCCTCTGTAGCAGCAGAACTACTCATCTCTGTGTTTCTAATTCAAAGGAGTCAGCTTACAAAGGAATGAGTATCATCTTTTTTCCTTATTCTGCTCTAGCTCGATCTGTACTAGGACTTAACCTGATTCCATCCAATTCAGCATGTCAGTACAGCAAGCAAAACCTGTGCTCTCAGGAAGGGAAGTGCTAAAAATTCAAAGTGGACTGGAATTAAAGAAAATTTCAACTCTAGACCTTGTCAGTTCTCTATCCAGCTACGATGCCCGTGCCTTCCTGACAATACACTTTAGCACTGCGTTGGTTTCATGTCAGCGTGGAAAAAGATTGCTTATGTATGCTTGAAATATTGTGAAGACATTGGGGGAGTGGAGGTACAAAATACTTAATAGTCTACTTCTTTTTGCGAGTGTGGGCTAGTGGCATAACCATAAAGCCCCTTCCTCTCACTTCCTAAGATGCCTCTGCGGTTTCACATTTTCCTCTCCACCCCAAAGGTGTTAGTGCAACTAGACAGTTTTCCCTTTATTCTAAAGCTTCATTCCTTACATTGATAAGCTTCCCCTTTTAGGGCAGGGAAGACCTCATAGAAATATATGTTTCCATTTTCATTTCTAGACCTACTGTAAGCCTCCCGCACTTCCAAAAGCATGCTTGGGGCAAAAAAAGGCTGTTCTCGGCACACAGGGTACTGAGACACAAGGAGGCTCCCAGTGTGAAAGAAGATGTCAGAGCGATGTAAGCCAGTTTCCTCCCAGAACATCTGTGAAGTCTACTATGAAGGCATCCCATTCTAACCCCTGCGCTTCCCTGCCCATGTAGGGGCAGCTTGTTTCCTTGCTCTAAAGCACCTTCCTACTCATGCCTAAGCAGAGCAAATAAGCATCCACGAACCTTCTGTAAAACCAATAAGAGCGCATTCACTGATTCCTGAACAGAGTTCTAAGCATGCCCGGACAATATTCTTACACAAGTGGCATACTGTCTTTTCTGCAGATAATCAGAGGAAGAGAGAAGAATAAATACCTAATGCATGTACTTCCCATGCTTCCAATAACTCGCATTTTGAGATCTTATTATCAAAAACAAACAAGAAATGTCTGAGTGAAACCATATTGCTCACTCATATCTAAAGTAATTTCATTCTATGAAGAGCTGTGTATGGATATCATTAGGTAAAGACTATATGATTCCAGGAAGTACCATCTGAATATTATGAAATCACAGTGGAAGTGATTTAGAAGTGTAAGTTAAGAAGCATGTTCTTAAAATGCATACTTACTGAAAATATCACCTTTTACACTGTATTGCTCAAACTTTCCTACTGCAGAGGGACAAATTTTAACGACTCTGTAAGGCTTCTGACTTTATCACGTTGTGCTTTCAACAGAAACCATGTTTAATTTAGATATTTTAGGCATTTTCTTTTGGTGCATATCATGCGTTTTTACCCTGGATCCCTCTGTCAAATTGCAAACATATGATGCACTGAAATATTTCCTTTATTGTCCACTACCACTCTAACGCCTGCATCTAGTACTTTGTTTAGTTTTGGATTTCTTTATCCTCTGACTGGTATTTGATCACAAAAGATACTCTAATTCAGTTGTTAATCTCCACCTCTGCTGGAAACAGGATAAATCACTGAATTATGGGAAAGAAAAACATTGTTTCTTTTAATGGCCTTAAAACAGTTCAAGAAGACCTAGCTATTTGGGAAATTCCTTTAAATTCTCATTTTCCTCATGCTGAAAAACTGACTGCACAAAGTTAGAAACTGCAGCATATCAGGCAAAAGCTGAATTTAAGAAAATAAGGGTTTTGTTTTTTTTAATACTTCAGAAATGGAAGATGATATTTCATTTTTGTGAAACTCTAAGGCTTTTTATATTAGGGAAGACAAAGCTCCTCATCTCATTCATTCTGTATTGAAGCTACGTTCCTGGTATAATCTGCACACAGCAAACTTCAAGCACTCATGAATCACACACCTGCTTAACTGAGACTAACAGAAATCATTGTAATAACCTGATCTGGCATATTTAGATTTCTCAGTGAGAGGTGTGCATTTTTCAAATACAATCAGTTGCTAAGAAAGTTATACTATAGAGACAATTATGACAATAATGAAAATAACTTGATCACAATAAATAAATAAATATGACAATTTGCAAACATTTACCTTGTTTTATTGCATTACCTTCCCTATCCAAGTACGAAATCCTCTTGAATCTTCTACCAACGGTTCCATCTCCCTCCCATTCCAGAACATCCCCCCCTCCACCTACGTTTTTCTGAAAGGAAATCTATTTTTTTTAATTCTGCCAGCATTGTTTCTTTGCTTTCAGAGTGAGAAGACAGCAACTTCAGCACAAAGGCACAATTTAAAATCACTAAAACTTCAGCACAGAAATATCTGTAGCGCAGGAGCGGTGCCTCAGCTATACTCATAACATCCAGGAAAAAAATAAAAATACAAGGACAACCAAGATGTACTGATTTTTGCTATAGATTAACCCTACTATGCCAACAGCCTACACAGCTGCAATAGCACCTACCCTTCTAACACAGACAAACACTTAAGACAGAAAATAACTACCTATGGGACATTTAGTGACTAAAAAGAAAACAAAACACCAAAACACAATAAATTTAAAAACACTCATAACATGAACCAGTCCAACGAATACCACAAAACATTACTGAGGTTAAGAACGTAGTGTAAGATAAAAAAGTTGGAACAGCTATTTACTAAAGCAGTATCACAGTAGCTAGAATATGCACTTAACTACATGAAAAATACGGTTTTTCCAGAGAAGAGTTGCTCTGTAAAAGACAGCAGCCCAGCAAAGTGACTGGCACTCATACTCCACAGGGTCCTTCTTCACTACCATCTCCACAATCCTATTAGACTGGATTCCACAGAGGAGTATCCTGGTAACTTCCTGTGTTCTACCTAACACCAATCCTGCATTTTGCACAGTAATTCCTGCATCAAGCCTCCGTAAACCTATGACAACAAAAAATCTCTGTCCTGACCGACATCAAGCAATGAGGAATTCACCATGTATTCTGGCAAAATATTTAACTTCCCACGGAGGTAATGATTTCCACTTTACTTCCAGCTGAATTCAGCCACCTTTAACTTCTACCTTGTGAAGCTTTTCGTGTTTTGGGTGCGCTTGGCAGCAATGACAGGTTCCTAGGATAACGCAATGCCTTCAGGATTTTCCAAACTGGCCAATTTTAAACGTTCCCCTGAGCAGGGGAGATCACTGTATAATGGTGCAAACCTACTGGCAACAGGCTTGCTTCTTCTTAGGTTGACTCCTCCATAGTCAGCTGAAGTCCATGCAAAGACCGAAAAATCCTCCTACAGCAGATATTGCTGCATCTTCCCAATACAGGTCTATTATTCCAGACACAAATACCTACATCAGAAAGTGGCGGGCTCTGTAGCAATCCATATGCTAAGTTTACTTTCCTGCAAATAAGTTAGCCAGATCTCTTATCATGTAGCAGGTCTCCCAGACTTCAAAACTTTATAGTAGCTCCTTCCTGAGATGCTAGATGATATGCCCACATCATCTTGTAAGCATTAAAATCGAAACTTGGGTAGTTTTAGTAACGCATTCAGTAATGCCCCCAGCAGGGACACTGCTACCTTTTAACTCAACATTCTCACTTATACATCTAAGGATCAAGCACCACTGGGGACTCTCATTCATTTAGTTATGTCTATACTTTCAGAATTGCTCTAATGATCCGTTTTTCCCTCTGACACAAATAGTATCTTCTGTTCTATAGGTGTTGCATTTAAACACTTTTCTTTCATATTAGATCTTACGGTGATGAGGAACAACATCAACCCTCCTTTTCAAAAGATGTGAAGTTTTTTTTTTTTCTCTCTTGGCATTTGATTTAAAGGAAAAATTGCCTTTATGTTCCTCAGGATTTCCCACTACTTGAACTACCCAACAAACACTTTGATTTACAACTTGAAAGTAAGCCTCGAAGTCTGTCTTCTAACGCAGAAGCACCTCGCTAGAAATCAGCTCTTTCAGGTGACATATCCACAGAAGGGTCCCCAGGCCCCCAGAGATGGCATGCACCGTCTATCAATTACCGCTAGCAGTTTTATGAAAACAAAAGCACAGGCGAGCACTAAAGCCATCGGATCTTTCAGGAGGGCTGCAAGGAGCGCACAGTCCCCGTGTTAAGCTTAACTACGTTATCAGGTCGTTTAAGGCTGGTGCGGACAAACGCCTCAGCTCGGCCACCAGCCCCAGCG